TAGCAGGAAATGGTAGTCCTGTAGTTCGGTGAACCATCGGGCTTGTCTCCGGTTAAGCTTCTTGGCTTCTCTGAAGTACATGAGATTCTGGTGATCGGTCCAAATCTCGAACGGCTCTGTAGTTCCCAAGAGGTATTTGTCAACGACTCCGGAAGGTACCCAGGTCGCTTGCGCGAGGTAAGTAAGAGGGAGGATACAGACCAGGCGAAATCTGCCGGTCTGCGGTATATTCCAGTGGCTTATATACGTACAGGTGAGTCCAGTATCTGTACAAGTCAACAGTCATACAGTAAAGGTCGTGAAGTGGGTCGTAACGGCAGAAACTCGTAGGCCAAGGCGGTTCGGTGGACCACCAAGAGGTCTACGAGGTCTCGCAACAAAACAGGCATGCGGGAAAGCTGTCCATATACGGTATAGCCAGTACAGTACGTGAGATCCGAGGTGTTTAGTAAGTAAGAAGTTAGATTGGTGAGCGAGTTAGAAGCTGAGGCAGCAAACGAGACGCATGGCGCAGCAGTCATGAGGCCGAGTTTGGTGCGAAGCTTTAGGAGATAGCATTATTTCTGGTGGTGAAAATAATGCTTGCGTGCGCTGGAAGCTCGGGCCGAAACCCGGCTGCATCTGGGATGTGACTGCGACGATGCAGATCAAAAGTGGGCCGGCCGGGCCAAGATTCCACTCTGGTCCGAGGATATGCGACGTGACGGTTCGTTCTGGCTGCCATGAGCTAATACCGGTACTCAGTAGGCTGGGTATGGGCTCCAGTAGGCGGTATTGATGATATGAATAGCCTATAGTTGAGGTACACGTGTATGCTCATGTGTATTGGGCTGGATTGATGTGTGACGTGGCGGATGACGCTTTTGGAAAAGGTGCGGAAAATGCGAGATAAATTGGAATAAAATAATGGTGGGTTTGGCGTGTCATGGATAGTGTTGTGGGTGTTCGTAACAGTATTGTCGCCAATCTTCCAACGCGGTCATGATTGCGAGCATCACCTTATCGTAAATCTCGTAGTTCCGTTCGGCATCATTGAGGGATTTGCTGAGGAACGCAATTGGATGCCATTTCCCATCTTGCTCTTGGGAAAGCACTGCGCCAACAGCATAGTCTGAGGCATCTGCCTCCACACGGAACTGTCCTTCATCGCGTGGAAGAGCGAGAACTGGTTCTGAAGTGATCTTCTCTTTAAGCTCACTGAACGCAGTCTGCTGAGCAGTATCCCAATGCCACGGAACATCTTTCTTTGTAAGGTTGTGAAGCGGTCGTGCGATCTTGGAGAAATCCTTGATGAAGCGGCGATAGAAGTTACAAAAACCAAGGAATGACTGAAGGTCCCGCTTGGTA